AAAAAAATGGAAACAAATTTGAGTCTTTCTACAATCTTTTATAAATCTTTTTGAAAATTATGTACCATGTTCCTAAAGTAACGTCATGCTTTAACTAGATAGGTTTTTTTTTCTTTACAACACACAAAATTAATTTCACCAAAGCCCTTTCCTGGAAGCTGTTCAAAGCAATACATGATTTTCATTTAATCCAGCACTCTATCAGCTTTCTTGTTCTTCTTCCTTTACACATTTATTCAACAAATTCTGACTGTATACTATGTGGCAGGCACTGTTCTATACACTGCTGACATAGATGTGAACAAAACAAAGCTCAGCCTTCATGAAGTTTACATTCTAATGGGAGACATAGCCAAACTCAAATGCATAATTTAATACTGCTAGTTTTAAGTGTTACCAAAAATGCATTTAGGATAAGGGTAAAGGGAGGAAAGTACTGGTCAATGAGGAGCTGAGAAGCAAGGCAATAGCTGAACTAAGAACTGAATGACGTGAAGGAAACAAGTGAGGTGAAGGGTGTAATAGCTACATGGGGAACAGGAGAGTAGAGTGTTCCAGGTAAAGGAAACAACAAATAGAAAGCCTTGAGGCAGGAATCATGCCTGAGAAAGAGCAAAAAGGCTGGGACTAGCATTGTGCACAGCAGATTAAGTCTCCTCTTCACATTTCCAATTACAACACTGGCATCTCATACAGGAGTGCTAGCTCCAGTCCCAGCTGCTCTGCTTCTAATCCAGTTTCCTACTAACGTGCCTGGGAATGCAGAAGAGGAACCAAGTACTTGGACCCATTTGGAAGACCAGGATGGAGTTCCTGGATCCTGGCTTGGGCCTGGTCCATATCTGGCTACTGGAGCCATTTTTGGTAAAAGAACCAGGAAATGGAAGATTTCTTTCTCTCTCCCTCTCCTCCTCTTTCCTCTTCCGTCTCCCCTCTCTATCCTCCTCCTCTCCCCTTCTCTGCCTTTCAAATGAATAAATACATGCTTTAAAGAAAAAAATAAGGCCAACAGCTTATGGGGAGTACATGAAAGAAAAAACAGTTGAAAATTAAGGTTTATCAGTAACTGGATGACATAGAGCTTCATAAGATATAATGGAATTTTTTACTTTATTTTTTAAGAGAAAGGGAAAGGCACTGGAGAGTCTTGGGCAGGAATGATATGATTTAAATCATAAAAGATTCTTCTACTTATTTTAAGGCTCTAGTAATGCCTGAATAAAAGCACAGAGAACATTTAGAAGGTTATATAGGGTAGTAGCCCAAGGAGGGGACGTTGGGGAATTGGATCAGGGTAGCAGAAGTGACAAAATAAGGCAACAGAATACTCTTTACCTTCTCTATTCTTCCTTAGAAATTTTCTAGAAAAGTCAGTAACAAGAGTACTGAATGTGAGAATTGCAGAACAAAGTGTTAAATTTGCTTTGTTTCTTACTAACTTGGAGACCTAGGGGTACAACTTAAATCTATGGTCTCAGACATCTTATGAGTAAAATAAAAATATTAGCATTTTCTTTGCTTTATGTGACTATTATACAGATCAAATGGGATATCTTACAAATGAAGCTCTCTAATTTTAACTAAAACAACTTGATAGATTAACAAAAATTCTCCACTTACTTTGTACCACATAGAGATGGAAACTATCACTCATTGATTGCTTGAAATTTATAACTACTTTCTAGCTAAAATAAATTTTCCTACTCTATGATTGTGGACCCATTAACATTAGCAATGAAGATATATATAAATTATCTATGTGTATATTGTATATATGTATGTACATATATATTTTCATCTCTATAGTTACTGGGCCTGCATTTAATAAATGGATCAATATATCAACTATAGAATATATTCTAGATTATATAACTGAATATATAAAAAGATACCATAGGTCTGTGCCAGGTACTGTAGTAAAACAGAAGAGAGAAAAATAAATAACCCTGGTGCAAAGAAGAGAAGACTGGTCAGAGACGGTCTCACGTAGGTGGTGTCTGAACAACCAAGTAAAGGGTAACTCAGAGTTCTCCATTTTTATTGCAGGCAGAAGAGATATTCCAGTCAACAGCAATAGAATAGGGAAATATACTGACATATGAGGAAACATGGTAATTTCAGAAAATGTACTAAGGGAATCAAAGAAATGAGGATGCAAAGTTAAATAGTAACCCCTTCTGAAGGGAAATATATACAATCAAGTGTAGTAGTTTGAAATTTATTGTATAGAGGGGAGGTTTTAAATTGTGTTTCATAGAATTGTAAGTTCAGGAAAGATGGATCAGATATTTCAAAAACACCTGAACAACTTGCACAAACACATACATACTGAACTTAAAACAGATTACAGTAAATCAATGCCTTAAATTGTTTTTTTGCTGACCTTGAATCAAATCTGCTTCAGCCATTTCTGTTTTTGAACTTCTTAGAGATATATCATTGATTAAGAAGGGTATAGATTTATACCTTTACTTCTTAAGGCCAGAAAAGGCCCTACTATCTAGCAGTGGATAATATTATACAACAAAAACCAAATATAAAAAAGCAAAAATTTATTAAACAAATGCATACCAATAAAATATCACATTTACTTGTTTTAAGAGATCTTATTTAGTGAGGTTTCCCACAAAACATTTGCTTGTAGTGTATCACTGCTCTAAGGAAATCAACATAGAATTTTTAGCAAGGAAATTACATAATTAACATTCTATTTCAGAAACAACCACTATTACAACAAAATGTAATAGAGTGAAACAAGTGAGGTGATCAGTTAGGAACTGGTTTCAAGATATCAAGCAAGAAAATATAATGGAATGAACAAGTACTGGGGATGAAGAAAAAGGCATAAATTTCAGAAATACTAATGAAATAGAACAGATAGGATTTTATGACTGATCAGATAGTAAAGGGAATGGCTTTCAAAAGATGAGAGTCTAAATTTATACTCTAATTTTGGCTATGTTGAAAAGGTAGAAATATCCAGAAGGTGCCAACTCATTAGAACTCAGAATAGAATGATTTTTGCACATTTAAACAGAAAGTCAATACAGTTCTAGTTTTGTTAATTCTTCAATTCAGTTTCATATATTTTACTGTAGATCATTAATTTTATTCCTATCCAAAAATAGAAATACTACAAGTACACAGCTTGAAAGCTACGTATTCTTACTGTTTCCTTGAAACTGGTTATATTCATCCTACTGTGAACAAGTTGGTTTTTAAAACTTTAATTATGTATATTTTATCACCTTTCCAATTTATGCATTTCCTTCACCTTGCTGATCTGTCTGATCTTTCCATCTGTTTTAACTCTCTTTCAGGTAAGAAGAGAAAAAACTTAGTCCTCCAATACAAATGCAGAAATCCAAGATTCAGGGAGATAAATGGCATGCCAAGAACTTTTAAATAAAACACACATTTTCTGATTCCTAAATCAGTCTTCTTTCTACCATGCCATGTTCCTGAAATGGCATAGTATTTAACTTTTACCACTTCCCATGACCATTTGTTTTCTGAATAAATAAGAAATGACTATTGCATTTCCCTCAATCATATTTACCCCTTTCTCTGAAATTCTGTATTTAAAACCTTCCCTACTGGCTTTATCATCTCAGTAACTCACTTCCATTCTCTTCCAAAGTTTCTTTGTTTTCAATTTTACCTCCACTAAAATTCTCCTATATCACTATCAAATCCATGAATTGAGAGATTTGGAAATACTTTCAGAATCTGGGACAGGAAATAGTAATATGTTAAACATTAGAGAATCAGTGCATAATTTCCCTGCCTAGCAATCTGACCTCAAGGATTCTTTCATATAATTATCTTATGACCATGTTAAGCCCTTTCCTAATCTGACAGAGTATATATTATTCAATATTGAGGGAAAAGTCATTATGATATATAAATTTCACAGTGTAGGTTAGAATTAAATCTGCTTGTCTAACCTAAATCTAAGTAAATTTGCTTTTATGTACACTAATAACTATGCTTTTATATTGACCAGTCCAGAAATAGCAGCTGAGGCAATCACTAAAACTTATTATACATCATTTGTTTACTGTAAGTTTAATTATGAAAAACTTTTGATTAGGTATCAGTAATTTGGTATTCAATTTCTGCAATTTCAAAAATTCAGTTTCTTCTTATGTAGTGAAAAATATTCATAAAACTAATTTCACTTGTAGACTATGAGTAACTTAAAACCTTTTTTATTGCTTACAGGTCAAAATCACATTCCAAGATAGCCAAAAAAAAAAAAAAAGACAATAAGAATTTAACTACTTTATGTTAGAAAATATTATATCTCTGTATACTAACATAATACTAATTTTGTAAATTCTCATCTTCTCCCCTCATCAGAAAATCTTTGCTTATACATTAGATGTTCAATATGAAATTATAATTACTCGAAGTGTCTTCTTACTAAACCGGAACACTGGCAATTTTTTAAACTTGTACAAGTATTGTAAGTTCATAGAATTATTTCTCCTGTGACATTTATTTTATTGTTTCTGTATTTTGAAGAGTTTAAAGATCTAAGAGTGTTTTCATTTAGGATTTTAAAGCAATACCATTGGGCCCTTTAAAATAGATATATTCATGTAGCCATTTCTACTTAATTCTATCAACACATTAATAATTTTATTCATTTTATACCAAAAAAGTAAAATAACCATCTCTCTAAATAACAGAGAAAATCAAACTATTTTGTATTCACTACTTATAAACATTACATTAAAAATTTTGCCCACTATTGGGCCTTAATATTATCTTGAAAATTCTTTTCACACGTGCTTATTTCTCCCCTAAACCATCATTGCATTTTCAGCTGGTGCCTGAAATATCTTAATTCAGACACACCTATCCACAGAGTTCTCTGCATCAGACTTTCTTTGGTGCTGGCATCGCAACCATTTCTAGTCCCAGGTGTATTTGTTTTTTCTCATAGCCTCACAACAGGAAGATAAACAAGTAATAGAGGACAATTCCAAACTTACCTTGCAGATCTGGAAATAGTCTGAAGTCAGGCTTTCCTGAATCTCCTCTCTGAGGACCCCTGCAGTCCCTCCTGGATGCAGGGAGCCACTTCCAGCAGCACCACCACTGTTACCGCTGCCGCTGCTCCCACTGCCAGGGGAGGAGGCAGTTAAGCCATCCAAAACTTTTCGGAAATTAAACTTCTTCATTTTAAACGCTGTTGAGAAATTCAAAGGACAGGAGAAAGGAGTGACTTAATACACGGAATTATACCTGGGTAAAAAAAAGCCTTTATTTTTCATTAGTCAAGGCAGCAGTAACCAATCCCCATTTTATTATCAGCATTGCATAAAACTGGGAGGGGGGGGGGGATGGAGAAGTCAGGCTTCCTTTTGCCAAATTTTAATTTGGAGAAGCATATCCTTAAATAAAAAAAAAAAAAAAACACAACTCCAAAAGCAACAGTATTGCCTCTTCGCTCTTCAGATTTGTCAAGGGCTTTCTCCCCAGCTGTAGCTACGCTTTATCAGCACTGGGGTAAAAATAAAAGGCAGTGTCATCAGCGTCATTAGCATTGTATCATCATTATTATACAATCAAACCAGAGTCCGACAGACTCTCTGCCTCTCTCTCGAACACGGGTTTTCCCTCTAAAGGGTCAGCTCGAAATATTTTATTTTCAGAAAACGACGTTGGGGGGGGGGGTTGCGGGGGTCAAACATATACTCTGGCACCACCTCTCGGGCTCTCCCCTCACCATCTTCTACGTTGCCTGCTCCTTAGTAGGAAACTGTGGGGGGAGCTTTTTCCATTCCTCACCCCCAAAAGCCCGAACCCCAAAACATCCGGGGGTGACCACAGCAACAGCCGACGGGAGGGGCGCGCGGCGACGCCGGCTGCCTCCGCCGGTCCCTGCGCCTTCTCCCTCCCTCCCCGCATCTGTCCCCTCTCCTACCTCCTCCCCCGGCTGTCTCCCCCTCCCTCCCGCTCAGCCCGCAGCTGCCGCCGCACTCGCCCGCCCGCCCGCCGTCCGCTCTCCCCGCAGCGCGGCGGCCACTCTCGGGGGACTTGAGGCAGCGGCGGCGGCGGCGACGGCTGCGGCCCGAGTCCCGCCTTAGCCCGCTGGGCGCGCAGAGCCGCTGCTCCCGCTGTCCCTCCCCTGGGCCGAGCGCCGAGGCGCGGGGCTGTCGCCCGCGGGCGCGCGAACGCACAAACACGCTCACACAGACAGTCGAGCCAGAGGCCGGGACACACACACACACACACACACACACACACACAAGCAGCCCCACACGGACAGTCGTGCCGGGCGCGCACACACAGGTGTGAGGGAGCCGCGGCTGGACGGCGGCGGCGGCGGCGTCCCACAGGGATGACTATCTGACCCCAGACTTAGGCACCTTCCTCAGACGCCACTAGCCGCCTGCCAGCCCGGAAAGCTGAGGGCGCAGAGGGAGGCGGGCTCGCAGGCGTCCGTCCAGCCCGGCTCCGGCCGCCTCTCCAGTCCCTCTGGTCGCGGCGCCCGGCGCTCTCCGAGGTCCTAACGGAGCAGACAGCGCCACCGTAGGCTCCGCCCTCCCACCGTGGGAGGCAAGCTCCGCCCCCAAGCCAGCCCCCCTCTCGCCCCGCCCCTTCTTCCCGGGGCGCGCGGGGCGGTGAAAGGGGCGGGGCGCTTCTGGACGTCAAAGGGCGGGAAGAGCTCGACACCAATCCTTGGCTCCATAGGACCCGGTTCCACGGTCTCGAGGCGCGGAAGAATTTTGGGGATAGGCCCAAGGAAAAGCCAAGGAGAGAGGGAGGGGAGAATGTAGAAAAGTAGACGTGGGCATTTGATTGACAGCGGGATTGGCCAGTCTGCTGCGGAGCCGTGCTTTGGGGGCTGCAATTGGCGCTACCTGTTGAAGGACGCCAGTGTGAATCAATAGCAAGCCTGCAAGCGTGCGAACTTGGGCGCCTGCAGTCCGAGGCTGCGGCGAGAGTTACCTAGGTCTGATTGGGCAAGTGTTTTGCAGCCACTTCTGTGAGCCTCCAGGTGTGTCTACTTGGTTCCCCTCAGCCCTGGTACCTGCGCTCAACTCAGTTTTGTGATTAACTCCCGCTGTTACCTAATCATGCCTTTAAAAGGGTCCTCTGTGCTAGGGGGCATTGTATTTCAGTAGTTTTGTTGTATACTCTTATATGTAGCCTTCCAGATCTTTCTAAGAAGTAGAACTACTTCTTACCCCTCAGCTTCAAACAAGGATGTTTAACTTTTTAAAGAAATATTTCTTAAGTAAACCGTGTCTACAATATGTTGTAACCTTTTCCTCTGAGTCACAATAATGGTATTGAAGAATGCATTATGCCTTGGGGGCGGAGCGGGGAGAGAACTGCTTTAGGATGGAAAGATTTTGTTCTGAGCCTGTCATGCTACTGAGCTGCGAAAAACTGAAACTAGATTTCTTCAGCTGTGAAAATGAAGGAACGCTCAGTGGGCCATAGCTAACTATAGACTTCGATTTAAGCAACACAACAGAGCTCAGTAGTAATCACCCCAAACATGGTCTTAAGTCTTCCTGATCTGGATTGGCTTTTTTCTTTCTCCTTCCCTCCCCACTCCGTAATAGGAAGTAGGAAGGGGAAGACTTGAAACAGAAGTTCCTTGCCCAAAAACCTAGCAAGGAAATGACGGTGGTGGATTAAAGCTCAGTTTTTCAGATCCTCAGCTCAGTGCTCGCTCTTCTTAACATTTGCAGTGATGTCTGCTTTACTATCCAATACTGCCTTATGGTCTCTCATTGCCACAGACAATAGTAACCCTCTGGAAGGCAGGCACTGCGTTATTCGTTTCTTCTCGCTACACAGTATTACATTTATACTAGGCATTTCACAATTTTTGAACAGTTGATTTATTAAGCACTATTAAGGGTGGAACAAATGCCACGACTGATGTAAACTAGATCCCGATAAGGTTCCAAATTCTATATTGAATTCTTAACAATTTGGCTTTACTCTCTTTGCCCATATTTTTTTCTTCCTGGCTCATCGATCATTTAAAAGCATGGGTGTTAATTAAGGCTAAAGAGTTGGCTTTCTTCTCTTTACGTCTGTTTTTTCCTTTTAAAAGAGGAGGAATCAACTGTAATTCTTTATGGACTAGTCATTATTGTCTAGAAAAAAATGAATTTAGATGTCCTCCTTCCTTTCAACAAATCTATCCACAACTCCTTAATTGTCAAGTAAATGAAAACAAGTCTATAGATACTATTGGTTTGGTATTTTGATGTGAATAAAAAAGATAACCCAGCTCAGCAAAGTCAGATGTAATGTTTACAAGAAAAAACCCTTAAACCACCAATTACTAGCATCATATTGTGTCAAACGAGATGATTTTTTATTCTAAAAATTGAGGGATACCATAGGAAAAAAAGTGCACTAAGCAGATTGATAAAGACACTTCTTCAGAACCCTGGAGAAAATACAATGAGTTAAAAAGAGGTGACAATAAATATTCCTTCAGATAGGACAACGAAATTGAGAAACAGAAGAAAAGCCAAGTTCAAGTATATGAATGTTTACAATATTAGAAGCCTAAAAAATAAGAGTCATTAGAATGCTTATATTGTAGATTATTTGGAACTATTTTAAATATTTGTTTCTCTACAGTGGCTAGCATAATGCCTTATATGGAGTACAAAGTCTCAGTTAATATTAGTTTGAGTAAATGACAGAAAATAAAAACTTCAACATAATTGAAATCTAAGAGAGAGAGAACAGAAGATTTTTATGCTAATTCACAAACTATAAATAAAAGGACAGAAATAAGAGGAATGTCCTGTGTATATGAGTGGACAGCATAAAAAATTGCATCCTAAAAGTCTTACTAGGTGAGCAAAGCATATGAAATATCTATGGCAGCAAATTCCATTCTGAACTGATTAAAAAGCAATAAGAAGGAATGAGACAAGACCATAAAATAAATCTGGTACTCAAAGGAAACTTTAGAATTGGATCAGGTAATATTAATTAGGAACTTCATTCATTTCTGTCACTCCCCCACTCACGGAGGAAGGACACCAGACCCTGTGCTGTTCTTTTTGCCCGGCCCTTCCTGGGTTAGCTGCCGGCCCCCCACTCGCGGAGGAACGATGCTGTCCCGGGTTTGCTGCTGGCCCACCTCCTTCCGCGGAGGAGCGGCACACCACCGGCAGGCCAGCTCTCTCAGGGGTTGCTCAGATGTTCCTAGTGCATGTTGTCTCTCTCCTCCTTTATAGTCCTCTTCCACCAATCCCAACTCTGCTGCCCACACGCAGAGCACGCTGCTCTCCTCCAATCAGGAGCAGGATCAGCTCCTGCAGCTTGTTAGTCGAATTGGTGAGGCAGCTGTGTAGAAGTTGTTTATTCTCTCTCAGCGCCATATGGCGGGAGATCAGATGCACAGAATTTGTCTTAGTTCCAGTAACTTAGTCTAGTCTCAGTTGCTCCCCACAATTTCTCTGCCTATTGGAAGAATATCTCATAGAAAGGAATTACTGAGGTAGAGTTTTTGAATAAGCCATGATTTCTTCCTAAAATTACAAGTAGGGAGAACTGAAAGAAAGAAAAATAATCTATTTGGAGGAAAATCATCAAATCATTTAAACAAATATATTAGGAGGATTTTTAGTATATATGTTGAGAATATATTACAATGCTCTGTAAGAGTCTGTCAACTTGGATTCAAGCCAACAATTAAGCTAATAAAAGCTGCCTTTCCATGCCCCAAAAAGTAATGGAATAATAGTAGAAAGTACATACATGTGTAACACTTCACACAGAGAAGGAAATTTGTTAAGCTGCCTAGGCTTGGATAAAGCTAAGCCAAGTTGAGAATACACATGTAAATGGTCCAATGTCTGTAGAGATAAAAAAAATTATACCAGTTACTTAGCAGTTATATTCCAACACTACACTAGGAACTTTACAAACATCTCTATGAATTTGGTCATTGTTGTAACTCTGTAAGATACATATTTTACAGGTGAGGAAATTTGAGACCCAGAAATATTGAAGAAATTAACTCAGGGCCACTTAGATGGAAAATCCAGCCTCCAAATATAAGGATAACTTCTAAAATCATGCTCTTAACCACTACCCTATTATAACTAGAGGATTAAATAGGAACTGGGATAGTGAAAGGGGTTGGAGAGTTCAATTCTAAAATAGTGAATTTTTAAGGAGTTTCAAAAGTTCAAGGTAAATTCACATTCTGTTTTCTTCATTTTTTTTCAATGAACTCTTTGAAATCCCCGTTTAGGTGTGTTAGTTTTCTAGGGCTGACATAACGAAATACCACTTCTTGGGTAGCATAAACAATCAAAACTTTATTTTCTTCAAGTTTGGGAGGCAATAAGTAGGTTTGGTCTGTTCTGAGGCCTCTCTCGATGGCTTGAAGATAGTTAACCCTCTGTGACCTTGCATCGTCTTTTCTCTGAAGACACATATTTATTGTGTCTCTCCATATTTTCTCTTCTTATAAAGGTAACAATCGTATTGGAGATAAATCTGATGTTTCCATTTTAATTGCTTCTTTAAAGGTTCTATCTTCAAACAATTATTAATGTGGTTTTATGGTTATATTCCAAGGAACTGATGGTTAGGGCTTCAACACAGAGTGGTCCTCAATGCATAGGACTTTGAACTCACATAAATCCTATTCCAAAGTTCTTTCCTCATGATAGTTTTCTTTCAAAAAACCAATGAAGCCCCCATTATATGAATATTTTATATTAGAAAAGTAAATGGCAAAATTCAAGTTAAGATAAAATATAATAGAAAAATGAAAAATATATAGTCAGTAGTTTGGGTATTACAGAATTAAAGACCTTTGGGAGTTATGTGGCAGTGAGCACTAGAAGTAGGAGGCTTTGGGGATTACAAGTTAATGAGAATTCTTGTTTGACAAAACATCTCCATAAAATTTGAAATATAATAACTGAGTCACAGAGGGGCACCCTACCAATATAGAAGAAAATCAGTTAATCAACAACTCATTGGACATAGCAAGGCAGTACTAATTTTCTCAGAGAGGTATAGTCTCTGTGAATAACAGAACAGCTGACAGGAGAATGTGGGTGAAGAGAGAGTGATGACACAAAACTTACTATAGGCTAGTGTGGCAATTATTTACATGAGCAAATCTGAACATTTCAAATCTGCTTGATGTGAGATACTGAGTTTTTGGACTGAGAAACTACTATTCCAACCACTTCTGACTTCCTAATCAAGCTTCAGCACAATCCATGTTATTTACCAGTCTAGAACATAGAACTTCATTAAAAATAACACAGCTGTAAAACAAGCCTTTATGGCAAATTTTTAGGAGGATTAATAATTATCTTTCCTTCCTAAATCTTCATCCGACTTTTCTCTGACCTCATTATGCATCCTTTAGGCAGGATACTGGTTGATAATTGTCAGTCAGCTTTCCATCAGAGGCAGAGTGACCAGTCCTTACTCAGTCCAGTGCAAGCCACAAAGGAAGAAACCACAGGAATAATTAAATAATGCCATAGTTCTCATGGGTTTCCGATAAGAAAGCAGAGGTCATTAGGATAGAACCAAAACATACA